TCGGTACTAGATTTGTGTGCTAGTTTGAGGGTAAGAATGTGATCATTTCTGTAATTGGCTTAGATAGCAACATATTTGATGCCAGTCCACTCAAAAATGATTCAAGAGTTGTTTTGATTTGCATGATCATTTTCTTGATGTGTGAAGGACCATACTTGTTTGCTTGATGTTGAAATTTTGGGAGATTGCTTGGAAATGGTTGAAAAATTGCATACTTGAGGTAGTTTTCTCCCAATGCTTGTTTGCAATATTGGTGCCTCTTTAGTGACAAAGAGCTTAATATTTGTGGGTATCATTTCTGGAAACCCTCACGAGACTTCACTAGTCCATTAGGGGCAACCTAGGGGTTTAAAAGGCTTGTTGCATATGCTAAATGCAATCGTGTTCCCTACGAAAGTGGCGTTATCCATTTATTACTTTCTAGTTCATAGTTGTATAGTTGTTCATTTCATTCCTTTACTTTGTAATTCATTGCTAGGGGCTAGCAATATTTAAGTTTAGGGGTGTGATGAGCACTGAAAAGTGCGTGTTTAAACCCCTTAAGCTTGAGTATTCTAGGACCTTTATCTATCTTACTTTCTCATTTTAGACTAATTTCGTGTTATTGCCCTTTTCAGGTGTTTATCCCAAAAATAAGTCAATTCAGCCAAATAAGACCATTAAAGAAGTTATCTCAAGCTGAATGGAAGAAATGAGCAAAGTGGAAGCTAAATGAAGCAAAGTGTGGAAATTCAGCATGTCCGATCGATCTCAGTATTTCTTCGATCGATCGAAAGTTCATCGATCTAAACAGTTCAAGATGGATCCAAGCCCTTGTCCTTATCCAAAAGAATCCAACAAGTTCGATCGATCCAACATTTCCCAGATCGATCGAAATGATCTTATCTTATCCATACCTACCACTTTTGTCTTCTTCCCAAAAATAACCCAAAATATCTTAGAGATTTGTCTTTATTCAAAAAGGTGCTGCCAAGGATGATCAATCTCTGCAGTATTCGATGGATCTCAGCCAAGTTCGATCGATCTCACCACAGTTCGATCGATCGAACTTCCTCAAGCCCGAAAAAAGACAAATTCCAGCTCATTAAAAGTTGGCTCATGGTGCAATCATTGGAGGGACCTTGATGCACGAATCCAGACCATTGGTGTGACATTTGACCTACATATATAAGGATTTTTAGCCACTTTTAGGGTATAGAGAGATGTTATATTATTTATGTAGGTTATGTGTTATGGAGAATCATCATATCTCATATCTTGGAGAGGAGGCTAGAAATTAGAGAGCTTTACACATTTTAGGAGTTCTACTATTCTTCTAGGGTTTCTATCAAGAAGGAGGTCATTCCTACCATGGAGATAGCCCTTGAGGGTTGGATGACTACTTCAATGAGTGGCTAGACATCTACTTGTGGCTAGAGTAGCCCCTAAGTTTGTTTCCTAGACTTAGTTCTTTGTAAATTTTTGGGGATTTATTTGGCCATATTGCACACTCACACTCTTAGTTCATCTCTTTGCAAACTTTTGGTGAACCGCGGCCTAAGCCACCATATTTCTAAAATCATTAATGGTGTCACAACATACATATAGGTATACAATGCACAAAATCACTTTCCATGCACAAATAAGTTTGGAACCACACATTCCATGCTCTAAGTCTTCAAGACTACAATGGCATTTGCAATGACAAGTTCACAATGTGAATAAATTTACACTAGCATAGTGATGTCAATTCAAGTAATTAATTCATGATATTCAAGTAAGCCTTAAGCACTTAATTAAACAACGATACACACTATACAAGCTTACAACAATTCCATTGGCAAGAATAACACAAGAATCTCACAATTATAACCAAATGAAATTACTAGTAATAAATCCTCCACCGATTATAATAATAAACTTTACAAGAACTATATTCTACACATGCTTAATTAATATGAAACCTTAAGTCAAATATATACTACCTTCATCTATATGCAATCATATAATTCATATAACATGTAAACAATAAATATTAATTTCAAAAGCACAATAAAACACTAAGGATATAGACATAAGACACCCCCTACCTCACTAGAGAAAAGAATGTCTATAATCCAAGAAAAATGTGAGCAAAATGAAATCTAAGAGAAATGTGTTGTAGAAAATGGTGAAGGGAAGCTTTTGTCTTCCAAAAGCTACGCCAAAAGGTGTGTGGAAGATGGTTGAAATCAAGGTCTAGGGTTAGGCTTAATGTTGTCTTAGTGAGAGAGGAAGAAGATGAAGTGGAAAATCACTAGATTTTCCACTAACAATGAGATATACATACACTTTAACTACACTAGCACTACCTCTCACACACACACTCTAATCTCAACCCTCCACTTGTTACAATCCAATGTACCCTCACAAGACTTAAAATCTACCCTACACTTGTCATCATCCAAGCCCTCCATATGCTTCCAACCATTAATCAACACTTGGTCCAAGGAAAAGCTGACACTTGTCACACTTTTCCAAAAATTGCAAAAAGGTCCTTTAACAAAATATGTTTCAAAAATAATTGCAAAAAGGTCCCTAAACCAAAATATTTCAAAAAGATAATCGCACAAAGACCCCCCAAAATTGAAAATGTTTCCCGAATAAAAAAAATGCAATTATACCCCCAAGAAATGAAAATAAGATAGCATGTTTTTCTACACAATTAAACTATGCATTAACAATAAAATAAATTAAAGTGAATGCATGAAATGTCGGAAATCAATCCTGAACACAAAATCTTACCTCGTGTCCCACAAAACCTTAAGGCAACAAGAAAAGGAATAAATAATTAAATAAAAAAATGCTGGAAAAAAATGAAAAAGATGACACGGTCATCACATTTGTTGCGTTTGTTATGTAGGAATGAATATAAGTGAAAATGAAATGAGAATGAAAATTGAATGGAATAAAATGGTCATTCTCATTCTATTGTTTGGTTGCAAATATGAAACATGTAGGAATGGAGTAATAATAACCATTCTAATATTTGGTTGGACTAATTTAAAATTTAGAATAGAATGAATTTCAAATTGAATTCTCTAAAATACCCTTTTTAGTGATAAATGAATTAAATTAACAAAATAACATTCTTCTATAAAAAAAATTTTTAAAAAAAATGAGGGCGGTGACAATGGTGTTGGAGGTGGAAAACGGTAGTGGTGTGGGTGGTGGTGTTGGAAGGCAATGGTGGTGGTGGCGGTAGTGGAAGGTGGAGGTGGTGGTGGGGGAAAAGACCACAGTGATATTGGTAGAAGACGGTGGTGGTGGTGGTAATGGTGGAAGGCGTCAATGGTATGGGTGATAATGGTGGAAGTTAGTAGCAGTAGCAGTGGTGTGGTGATAGTAGAAGGCGACATTGGTGTAGGTGGTAGTGGTGGAAGGTGGAAGGCAATTGAGGTGGTGGTGGAAGGCGGTGGCAGTGATAGTGATGGAAGTCGGTGGTTGTGGCGGTGGCGATGGAGGTGGCGGTAGTAGAGGCGGTAATAGTGTGGTGGTGGTGGAAGGTGGAGACAATGACGATGGTGGAAAAAGGTAGTGGTGTAGGTGGTGGTGGTGGAAAGTAGTGGTGGAAAGTAATGGTGTAGGTGGTGGTGGTGGAAGGTAGTAGTGGTGACGACGGTGGCAGTGGTGGCAGTAAACGTGACAGTGGTGGTGGCAATAACGGTGGTGGAAGGCAATGGAGGTGGCGGTGGTTGAAGGTGGTAGTGGTGGAAGACGGTAGCATTGGTGGTGGGGGTGGCGATGGTAGAAGGCAGTGGAGGCGGCGACGGTGTGGTAGTTGAGGCGGTAATAACAGTAGTGATGGAAGTGACGGTGGTGGAAGGCAATAGAAGTGGTGGTGGTGAAAGGTAGTGGTGGTGGTGGTTTTTAAACTTGTAACCCATAACAGTAGCGATGGAAGTGACGGTGGTGGAAGGCAATAGAAGTGGTGTTAGTGAAAAGCAGTGGTGGTGGTGGTTTATAGACTTGGAACATTAGGGTTTTTTGGGAATTTGAATTTTTTAAAAAAAATTATTTGGGAATGGAATGACTATTCCATAGGTTTAGTTGTAGAATGAATTTTTAGGAATGGATTTTCATTCCAATGGAATGGTCATTCCCACTTTAAATTGCATACCAAACAAAGAAATGATTGAAACAAGCATTCCATTATATTTAATTTCTGCACACCAAACGCAACATATATTCATCCGAACACGCAACTAACTAAGGAATTTGATATCCTAATGTAATTTAAGCTTTGTTCAGTAGGAAGGAAGGAAGAGGCGTGGAAAGAAAAAAAGTAAGGAAGGAATAAACTTCATTTGTTCGGTAGAGATGATAAAAGAAAAGAAAGAATAATATGAGGGATGTGTCATATTTTATTTTTTACAAATTTTCATCAGTCCAAAATGGGCAAAATAGAGGAGGAAAGAAAAATGAACTATTATATAAGTTTTAAATTAAATACAAGTTTTAAATAAAAGTACTATCTTCTAAGAATTACAATACTATAAATATTACTAGACATAATAGTAAAAACAATTTAAAATTTTACATTTCCTTTTCTCATACGAACATAATAAATTGTAAGTTTATTTTTTTTTATCTTCCATCCAATCGAAGAAAAGGAAGGAAAAACATATCCGTGACTTCTTCTCTCCTTTCTATCTAATTTTTTTCATTTTTACTTAACAGAACAGTAGTACAAGGAAAACAAAAACAAAATGTATATTAGCGCAATTACACAATTCAAATAAAGTTAATCCTAATATAATTTAGTAGATTCAACCCTTTTAGAATCTTAGATGAAATATTGCTTATCATAAAAATGAATTTAAAAAAAAAAAACACAATTGTTCAAGATAAAATTTTTTAAAGACATTTTAAAATAAAAATTTAAAACGAGAATAAAAATGGAAAAATAGTTCAAATATATATATATATCATCACGTGAATGCACCTTGATTCCACTGGCGTGTATATATTATCTTGTTTTTCACTGCTTTCAGTTACTCCTATAAATAAAAAGAAAAATGAAAACGTGATGCAACACATTTTCTCTCTCCAAAACTTAGATTTTTGCAACGAAAACTGAGTTGTAATTCGAATTGGTAAAGAAATCAATGGAAGGGTTTAGTGCTGAAGATCTGCCGACGATCGGAGGAATCGCCACCGTCTCACTTCTCCACTCCTTCATCCCCACCCATTGGCTTCCATTCTCCATTGTCGGACGCGCCCAGAAATGGACCCTTTCCAGAACCCTTCTCGTCAGTGAGTTCTTCTCTCTCTCTATATATATACATAAATAGATTTATATATCCGAGTGTGTGTTGCTGTAGATCTCCTGCATTATTCTCTTGAAATGTGTTTGGTTGCTGAGGAAACGAAGGAAAAGGGCAAGAATGTTAAAGATTCGAAAATTATATGTCTTTATGTTTCGTCCCAGAAAATCTTTTAAATATTTAAATCATCCCAATTAAGCCCAGAAATGGACCCTTTTTGGTTTCGTTTTGTTTGGAACCAAGCGGACGCCAAAGATCTATTGAGATCTATATGGCAAACTATTTTTTAGGTTTGTAATTCTAACCCTTTTTCTCGCTTTGTTTCGTCCTGATGTCTTTACTATTCTGCTTTTGCTACTCTGCATTATATTATTGTTTGATGTTTATGGTCAGAATGGAAGTGGAGATAGATTTGTTGATTTTCTATACGAATTTCAGAAATGGCGTCCCAATAGTCACTTCTCCAAACGTTTATGAGTTCTGCAATTCTGATTATTTACAAAGACTTAAGATTGCCTTGTAAATCATGAGATGAAAACTAATGTTAAGTTTGGGAGCATCGAATTGGTGGCTTTGGATTTGGGATTGGAAGAAATTTAGTTCAAATTGAACTAAATTTTCTCCAATCCCAAATACAAAGTGCCGATTCGGTGCCGCCAAACATATCATAAGTAATTTTGTAACAATTAGAAATCACATGGTTATGTTTAACGTTTTTGAACATTAGAGCGCTAAAGTTAGTGTGAGAAATTACGCTCAACTATAATGTCCTTTTCTTCCAACTTATATTTGTGGTCAAATTCCAATTATGTTATTTGCTTCCATTACGTGCTAGAAGGATTATGGGTTGCTGAAGCATAATTTCAGTGTCCAAGTGGATGGTGAAAACCTGAGATTTTGCTTTGTAATAATCTCTACTGGTAGACATTGATTGGGGTTAAATTTTCAATTGGCAAGACCTGTGTCCAATGTTTCTGCTTTCTTTTATAGTCTTTAAGATAGGAGATGGTTCTTTTCTGGTTCATCTTCACTGTTCCTTGTTGCGTAGTGGAATCTTGATAAGAGATGATTAGCTTGCAGATTTGCTTACAAATATTTTGATAAAGATATATATTTCACTTTTGTGGGTTGAGGATGTGGTTCTCTCCTAATAAGTTAATCAGGAAACCTGCTCCATCATCACATCCCATTATAAGAAAGAGGAAAGAAAAGAAACTTTCTCCATCGCAGGTCCTTCATCACATCTCATTTCAGAGGAAAAGGGGTTTCTCATTGTGATGTGCAAGAAGACTCTGGATGGCAGTTTGACCTTGTGATGATTATTGTTCCTTTGTTGGTATTATCTGGCTAGGTTCCTTCTTTGGGTGTGGATTCACCAATTGCTGGTACTTTGACAATGTGGTATGTATACCATCAAAGTTTGAACAATGCCATTCTTGTGCATCATGCCATCTACCCCTAGAAGATTTTATCTAAACCATTCCCTGCTACCTGAGCACTACTCAGGTAAGTTTGTCTCTGAGAAGGCGACGACTGTTTCTTTGATCATTTTGGAAAGAGAGGATAGGTTTGATTTCTTAGAGTACGATATGAAACGTAAATCATATAGTGGGGTTGCTCCTCGGCTATATAGTTTTGAGATGACTTTAGTCAACTAGCATGCATTACAACCTCAGCATGTAATGTAACAACATTGTTTTAAATCCTACACGTAATGCCTTATATTGTTTGTGTCAATATTTCCAATATAATGTTTAATTAATAGACTATCAAAGTGTAGTAAATGAGTTATCCTTAGTAATCTTTTTAAAGATACTGCTTCTTGACATGAAAATGTGGCACTATGCAGTCACTAGGTGAAGAGTTGACGAGGTTATGGGCCTTATGGCTTATTTGGAACATTGTTAGGGCTAAATTGTTGCCATAGGTCTACAGCATTAGATTTATCAAATCCTTCATCTGCTTGTAATAAGCTTCACACCGCTTCTCAGAATTTCCATCATTTATCCAATGTCATTTGAAAAGATAAATTGCTTAGTACGAAAATCATAATCTGTTAGGTTTTGATCCTTTGTGCCTTACTAACTTGGTCTATCCTTGTGCTAGCATTATGCAAGTTGATTCTTCTCCATACTTACCAAGCTATAAATGGGAGGTTTTGAGAATGATCCAAGTTTGCATCATGATCTTAGAGTGCACCAAAAGGAATTATATATATATATATATATTAAGAGAAAAAAATTCCTTCCCCAGTTTCTTTAAGATCAAGTTTTTGATATTGAGGTGTTGGAAATTTGCATGATTGAGGTATTAGTCTAATGAAAGGACTAGATGTAGAATCTATGTTGAACCACCATATAGTGGGGCTACTAGGACTTGGGTCTCTTTCTTTGGTGGGGTATCAAGTGCATGTATCTTTGCCAATTTACCAATGTCTAAACGGTAGGCATAGATCCTAAAGAGTTAATGCTTCGTCATGAATTGGGATCTTTTGACTCAACTGTAGCTGAATTTTCCTGATTTTGGCCCATTTTTCACCTTGAATGGGCCAAAATATGCAGAATTTCTTACTTCACATGGAACATTAGATCTAGTAATAGGGGGTCTATGGCTGACCAATATTGTACTACGTCATTTTGCTATTGCAATTCTTTTGGCGATAGCATGTCATAGGTATAGAACCAACAAGAAATTGTATGATTATTATTATTAATTTTTTTTTTTTTAAACTAGTTTCCAGAATTTAATTTAATTTAATTAATTAATTAATTTATTTTTTTCCATTGATATTGTTTTCCTTTTGCCCTTGTCTTATATTGGAAATGATCCAAAGGTTATGATGCATTAGAGGATTAGAAGACCCACCCCCACCCACCATTATTAGATTCAAGGTTGTTAGAATTGGGATTGTACGTAGAATCATTTTGGCTCCGTAGAATCGGATTGTGAATCACAAGATTCTACCAAACTAATAAAAATACAACTCAAACTAACTTTCTAAACAAAAATTATCTTTAAAATAAATAGAGAATGAGCCAAAAATACCAAAAGAATCATATAAAAGTACATTATATATTTAAGGGATAAGTTCATATAAAAATATTCAAACAAATTTTTTAAATTTTAAATTTTTATTTCCTTTTTGTTTTTTTTAGAAGATAAGAAAAAATTTATATAAATGTAAATATTACATTGGGCTTCAAAAACCTGAAGTTTGTAAAGTCAGTCAGGCCCAGCTGTATAATACAACAAAGAAAGCAAAAGAAAATAACAAAGCCCAAGACCAATCTGGTTGGACAAAATCATAGCAACAGATGAGAGAGAGCAAATTCCCCTGTTGTGATGTCAGCAAACTAAATTCCCCTGTTCCCCTGTTACAATTTCCTATTTCCTAAAGATCAACGGTAGTCGACGACTCCTCTCTTCTTTCTCAGGTAAGCTCTCTTAGTCTCTTGTTCCCTCTCTCTCCTCCTCCTATTCTTCTTCTTCTTCCCCGAAACCCTAGCGACTTTTTTTTTTTCCTCGGGCATCTTATCTCTTCGTCGGAGCTGTGCTGGAGCTGCTTTGTCGGCTGCGAAAGAGAAGGAATTGTGGCACTGTGCTAATCCATCTAGGGCTTCCTCTATTTCTGACAACTTTTAAACCCAAAACAAGAACACAAACATGGAGTAGTTTAGAATCGCTGGGATCATATAGAATCGTACGATCCGATGATTCTACCTACAATCCCAGCGATTTTACCCGTGATTTTGCACAAGCTACGATTTTTATGCGATTCGGATCGATTTGGGCATGTTGGATCGTAAAATTGTGCGATTCTACGAGTTAAAATCGCAATTTTAACAACCATGATTAGATTTGGATGCATGCTGGGGTTTTTATTTGCCTCTTAATGAAATACTGTATTAATAATGTTGTTTAAATGCAACATATGTTATGCAATGAGCTTTTACACTTCTTTTTGAGATTTTTATATTGGATCTAAAGGTTCAAAACATGTGGCTAGCATGGTTGTTAAAATCGCGATTCTAACTCGTAGAATCACACGATTTTACGATCCAACATACCCAAATCGATTCGAATCGCATAAAAATTGTAGCTTGTGCAGAATCATGGGTAGAATCATGGGATCGTACGATTCTATATGATCCTAGCGATTCTAAATTACTCCATGTTTGTGTTCCTGTTTTGGGTTTAAGAATTGTCAGAAATAGAATAAGCCCTAGATCGATTAGCACAGTGCCACAATTCCTTCTCTTTCGTGGCCCACAAAGCAGCTCCGACGAAGAGATAAGAAGCCTGAGGAAAACAAAGAAAAAAAAGAGTTGCTAGGGTTTCGGTGAAGAAGAAGAAGCAGAGGAGGAAGAGGAGGAGGAGAGAGGGAACAAGAGACTATGAGAGCTTACCTGAGAAAGAGAAGAGTGGAGCTTCCGGCTGTTGCTGATCAATGGGAAATTGAACAGGGGAATTTGGTTTGCTACATCGCAACAAGGGAATTTTCTCTCTCTCATCTGTTGCTATGGTTTTGTCCAACTAGATTGATCTTGGGCCTTGTTCTTTTCTTTTGCTTTCTTTGTTCTATTGTACAGCTGGGCCTGATGGGCTTTGCAAAATTCAGGTTTCTGAAGCCCAATGTAATATTTACATTTATATAAATTTTGTCTTTATCTTCCCAAAAAAAAAAAGGGAAATAAAAAAATTAAAATTTAAAAGAATCTATTTGAATATTTTTATATGAACTTATCCCTTATATATATATATATATATATAATGTACTTTCGTACAAGGGATGCGTTCCCCTCTTGGGGGAGAGATTTTTCCTCAATTGAGGATATTGTGGACCTTTTGGGCTCCTTAAGATCATAGGTTCAGTTTTTTTGTATAGCTTGGAACGCGTTCCCCTTTTGAACACCTTCTAATACATTTACTTATCAATATATATATATATATATATAATGTACTTTTATATGTTTTTCTGGTGTTTTTGGCTCATTCTCTATTTATTTTAAAGATAATTTTTGTTTAGGAAGTTAGTTTGAGTTGTATTTTATTAGTTTGGTAGAATCTTACAATTCACGATCCAATTCTACGATTCTGATTCTACGGAGCCCAAAACGATTCCACGTAGAATCCCGATTCTAACAACCTTGGTGGCTAGGTTTCTAAAATATTTAATATGTGTCGTTTTAATCATTATCTGTGATCCTTGAACTTTAGTCACGACCTTTAGTGATATTTGAATTTTTTTTTAAATTGCAGATATATTAACCTCAATCACTAATACTTAGGCATATAACTTAACCCAGTTCAAGAAACATTAGAAAAATACATGGAAATTTGTTATTTGCTTCCATTAAAGAAACCTTAGAAAGAGTGCATGACGAATTGTTACGATTAATAAAGCCTTAATTAAGCATCTCTCTCTCGGTTTGTGGGGGTGGATTGATTTAATCATATATTGTCACCATTTGTAATCATTAGGAAAATGGATTAAACAAAATTGTTAAATAAGTGGTTTTAAGTTTATAGTTTTGCTTAAACTAGACACTGGCTCAATCACAATTTTTTATTGGACTTTGGACCATGTATTATATGAGCAAGAGAGACTCCTCTAGAAAATAGCATATACAAACATGGTTCTTCTTGTTGTTGTTTTTTTTAGGATTAATGTAGCTAGTTTTTTAACATTCACAAATTTTATTTTAGGGTGAAATTACGGTGGGTAATTGCATTTCTGTCGGTTAGTTGAACATATCGCAGTTTGCAACCTTTAGGTGTTTTTTTTTTTTTTTTGGGTAGGTAACGAGCTTCAGTTTTTTGCTAGCCACAAATAATCATCTTTAGTGCATGCTTTTAACACCAGACCTATGGAAGAGGCTTTATGAGAATTGAAGTTTAAGGTACAGACTTACTTATCAAAAAAAAAGTTTAAGGTACAGACTCCAAATATACAACTAAAGATCATCTTAAATTCTTTCTTCTCATCCCTAATTGGTTTCATCTAGGTCCACCAAGTGAGAATTTAATGTGTTCAATGAGCGATATCAAACTTCTCTCTGTGTTGGTTATTACTAGGATAGGGTGTAGTTGAGAGTTGCGCTTGAGGAAGCCAATGGGACCAGAGTAAGGTGAATAGGTCTACTTCACTATTTTGATTGATTTTATACTTAACAAATCATTGACGTGAAGGTTAATCTGGTTTAACAATCAATCATGCAGTAGATAATAACGTAAAGTGTAGAAAAAACAAGACAAGCAAATTTGTAAGAGCCGAAAATTGGAAAAAATCACTGAGACACAATCTTGAGAACACAATTTCATCTTGAAGAAGAATTAGTACAAAGAGAACACAATTTCATCATGAAGAAGATTTAGTACAAAGAGAACACAATTTCATCATGAAGTAGAATTTAGTTCAAACTCTCTGTGATTTACAAAACTCTCCCAGAGAATCAGCGGTGTTGATTACTTTTTTCGTACAATATTACACAGCTAGTTCGACTCCTATTCTTGGAATCACCAGCCTATTGCTCTCCACATCAATGCGATCACACCCTTGCTATCCACTACGATTCACTAGTGATCTGTTGTATTACTCAATTTGAGCAAACACTCTTTCACAATGAAGATAACCTTTATCGGTGTAATTCATGTCACATTTGTGAATATGAAAATCATATGCCAAAATGTGGGTACTAAAACAAAAAATAGTAGCATTTGACCAGAGACTACGGCTAAAAAATCTATCAAAAAAAAAAGAAAAGAAAAAGAAATAGACTACGGCTAAAAAATCTTTGGTATATGATTGTGATGCATGGATGATTGTAGATTTAGCGAAGAACAAGTGCTTGGCTATCTAAACGAAAATATTGCAAAATATATACCACTAGTGCCTTAGTAACATGTTGCTTAGACAAGCTTTGCTTATGTGGAGAGAATATTTGATTTTAGCCTTTTTATAATATGTAATTTTTTAGCTTTTTTATAATATGTAATTTACTTATCAAAAAATAAAAATAAAAAAAATGTAAGAAAAAAAAAGGAGTAATTTTTATGTTGTCATGCCACATCAAATCCATATGGACAATACATATAATATATATTGTCACTCTAGGCAATAACATATAATATTTGTTGACATTAAGTCTAGATATCGAGTTCAGATTATAAAGTGAGTTTGTTTTTATCACTTCCTTTCCATCAGTGTGTTATCCTAATCCGATTGAGGTCAACTTATGACAATTTTGGCAGTTGTAATCATTTTCCCGATTCTTTGTAGAATGTCATCGATAATTAGAACTCATGGGAATGCACGTTCGTTACCTTATTCTTTTTATGCTCCTTAAAAAGGGTAGCCCACTGCATGTGGCTGCCACCATTTGGGGGGCAGGGGAAGGTGTTGGGAAGGGTCAGATGTTTGCAGCCTTATTCTTTTATCCTCTTTGCAGGGTTTATTTACGTCAGAGCTTTGAAGACTGAAATATAGGCAAAAGAGTTGTGCTTAATAGAATACTATTTATGATAATGTCATCAAAAGGTAGATGCACTAATGATGTCAATCAATTTATTGAGTGTTAGGTCAATCTCGGATTGGTTAGAGCTAATACATAGAATGACTGACTTCATCTGCTTCACATCCTTTTGTGTGTGTGTGGTACTAGGAAGTAAATGGCACATTTCGATAGGTAAATTGATGATAAAGTATGATTGAACTCCATGTGACAAATCTCTTTAATCACTAAAATCTTGTAATTGATCGCAAATATTTCCAGTTTACCCAATCCCTCCATATTTCTTGATTGCTCATGAGTTTTCTTGAAGCTATACATGTATTGGTCAAAGCATTTGGATGTTTCAATATTCAAAAAAGATTCCCTTATTCTAGTGGGTAAATGATGTGCAATATCTGGTTGAATCACAAAATGCCTGGGTAGGCTGTAGGGTAGGGTGCATTACCTAGATAACAGATGCACTTGTTGATTTGTGTAGAGGTAGCAGATGATGACCCAGACCCTTCAACATGCTTATTCCTTCAAAGTTACATGACTCAAATTAACCCAATTAAAGCCTTGGAATAAGGAAGTTTGAGTTAAAGTTTATTGAGCAAATTAAATTTATCCTGAATGCAGTCTTAGTTGTAAAGGAGTCGGGATGGATTTGATCCTCCAAAATTTGGCCAACATGAACCATCCCCATAAGAATATAGTTTTTGTTTTTCATTAATTTTTTTTATACTTTTAATTATTTATATATGTTTACATAATTGGTTCTTGAATTTACCCTGATTAATTATGAATAGTTCAGGTTAAGGAATTCTAATTTGATCATGAACCGTTCAGGAGGTTCTTTACTTGACCTGAACCATCCTGAACCTGATTGCCTGCTTTATTGGACAAAACCATCAATCTTTCTCCTCATATCTGTAATATTCTATATTTTTCAAATATAATGAAATGGTTGGATTTTTTAGATGCTCCTTTTAAGAGATTCATTAGATTTGGGTAGGTTGGTGTCTTTCTCATGATGGCAAGTATATCCTCAATGCATAGCGGATGTCTTGATGATGTATTCAGTTTTCATATAAAAGGTAGCTCATTTCTGTCCAAGTGTATATGTTTATTTTGTGAATATTGAAGTGGAATTTGGTTTTATAGCTGAGATGGCAAAGAAAACTGTAAACCCTGAAATGTATTGAGCTGTATACTTAATGTGGAAATTTTTCATTGTTCGTTCATATTTATATCTATACTCATTGTTGTTCACAAATTTTATTTTGCAGCTGCATTTGGAGCAGTTTTGCATGTAATATCCACTTCACTTCTTGGTATAACAGCAGTCACCATATCAAACACCATTGCTGGCGAGGAAACAGTGCATAAACTTGCTTCACTATTGCTCATAATTCTTGGTGGTAGTTATGTTTTGTTGTTTTTGTCCGGAAAAGGTGGTCACAGCCATTCCCACAACCAACCCATGGAGAAAATGGCCGTTGCTGGACTTGTTCTTGTTCCTGCATTATCTCCTTGTGCAACCACTCTTCCAGTGTTTCTTGCTGTCGGTAACTCATCCTCCATGATGGTGCTTGCTATAATAGTGTTGCTATTCAGGTATCACTACCGTCAGAACTGAATTTTTAATTTTTGTTTGCATTTTCATTTTCATTTTGAAACCATTTAACGATTGTAATCATGGTAATGTAAACTTGTTATTTATTGATGATATTAGTTTTTGTCGTAAAATCTTTCCTTTTTGTCCAAAACTTTCCTTTTTCTTTTTCTTAGATAAATTGTAGTTTGATTGATACAATCATTTGCTAACACTTCAATCAATTTGTTGTCATGCTTATGTTTGGCCTGATTCTAGGCTTCAGCATCTGTAAAACATTGACAAGTTAAAATTGTTTCATTTTTATCGCAGTCAGAGATGCAATTATGTGAGAAGAAAAAAAAACTTTGCATTCCTTTTGGGACTCTTTCTTTTTCATTTTTTTGAATGCAAAGAATTTTATTTTATTTTTTCCTCGTGTAAAGCATCAAATCCAGCCTGATTTAATATGTTATTCAAACTCCTGTCCAGGTGGGAACTATAATTCAGCAGTATACATACTTTCTCATGTTAAGAGTGCAAATTAGGAAATTTATCGAACATGACACTATTTTCATCATCATTACAATATTGATGATGGCTAGTTCCGAACGTTGTCATGTTCTGCTGGCTGGATTTTCTGGTTTACAAATTACTTGGTCTTCATGACATCCAATGTTATCTGTTAATTTGCAACCAGAGGTCAATTTTTGTATAAGATTTATATTTTTCCTGTCATTGTTTCAACAAATGTGAAGTTTGAAATTAGATGATGAAATTTGATTTGCAGCACTATAACTGTGATGACCTCACTTGTGGCTCTCTCATTCTATGGTGCGAGCCAGCTCAAGTTTCATTGGGTGGAGCACTACGACAAGCTTCTAGTAGGTTCGGTGCTATGTTTAGTTGGAATATTGACCCTTATTTTTCATGATCATGATGGAGATGCAAGTTCCACTGGTGGGCACTTGCATAGGAAAATCACCGTTTTATGAGGATGTTTCTAAGCCAGGAAATCGTGATTTTGAATACGTATTTGTGTGGATTAAAGGTTCGTAGATGTAAACTGTTGAATGTGCCATTTATGAGCATTGAGACTTTCTGGTTTATACAGCAATCCTTGTATATGGGTGTATGTTTTGGTATTATGGAATATGTTTTTGTTTTTATTGCTCTGGGAGTGTCCATAGCCTATTCTTTTTGTGGTACTGCCAACAAGTGTTTTATAAAATTAGTCTGATATGCTGTCAATCACTATAGTTGTATTTCTGCAGAAATATTGTTCCTGAGCTGCTCAATAATTTTTGTGTCACTGAGATGTGTATGTCTGTAGCAAACATGTTTTTCACTCAGTAAATATATTTGTATTTGGCATTGCTATAAAATTATGACAGTTGAGACTGATCTTTAGAGTCTTGAATGGGAATATTTGGGGCTACCATTCCTTTTTCTTATTTTTTATTTTTCCATTTTTAGAGTGGTCTTAACAAAGGAGACAGATTGGAGAACCTTAGCCACAATCATATATATATATAATTTTCTATAAATATATATATATTACCGGTATATATAATTTTATAACAATCAAATAAAAAGTATAGAAACCTTTGAAAGAAAAATAATATCGGTATATATTACTAAATATATTTTTTGTTAAGTAAAAATTATAATTTCCGCTGCGGGGACTCGAACACGGAATTTCCTTACGAAAAGTTGAATATCCATTGGTGTGTTGGCTACAGCAGATTTGATGTTTTGGTTTTCCATTCCAATTTATATAAATTATTTACTGAAAATTCTTAGAGCACCCATTATAAAATGAACTTTACGATATAAAAGGCTAACAATAAAATGATAATTGTCCCACCTAAAGGTCAAAAGTATTAACAAGATGTATTTTAATATGGAGACATTGTCAATGACGGTATGTCTTGCACATCTAACATAGTCTAATATTTAAGTACCAAAATTTACATGAGACAAGTTTTCTAAACTTCTCATGTTTTTGAAGTGATTAAGCCCATTTAATAATTTTCTTTATCTTTCTCAAGTGAGAAAATCTTGCATTCTAGAATTAACAATTTTCCTTAAAAGTTATAAAATATAACACACTTTAATTGGTCTAGAAATAACTTATAAGCCTGGTTTTATGGTTCTTTAATTTACTTTTCTTTTATCTTATTATATAATTTATCTATAAATATGTTTACTTACTATATGTGAATTTTGGGTAATAAAAAATAAAAAAGAAATAAGAAAAGGTTAGGTAAATAATTCTATTTTAAAAAATAAAGAGCTTTTGTCATCAAAATATTATTAAAAGTAAAATAAAAAAAAGATATTTCCGCTCTCGGGACTCAAACCCGGAACTCCGGTACACCAAGTTGGGGACTCAAACCCGGAACTCCGGTACGCCAAGTTAAATATCCCTTGGTATGTTGGCTACAGACAACGGATGATTTCTATATTCTAATCAAGTATATCACAAACAAGATATTTCCGCTGCCGTCCACTGCCAGGACTCAAACCCGGAACATCCCTACGAAAATTGAATACACAATCGATTTGATGTTTCTATTTTCTATTCTAATTTATGTAAACTATTTACGGAAAATTATTAGACCACCCATTATAAATTGAACCTTACAAATAACCACGTACCTTTTTCTTTTTAATATTAAAGTAGTTGAAGGTCCAACTACAATCGAATATAAAAAATCTTAATTCTTGAGAATTTGAATTCTAAAACAGTTTTAAAACTTTCACAATTTTATAGATATTGAGGATTAAAAAGAAAATCATTAGCATAAAATGGGCTTAACTGGTTTTAATTTTAATTTATATCTGTAAAATATGGTCCCTTTAGCCCAGTCCAACCTTTGCTAGGTCTGTGGTTGGGCCTTGATAATTTGAGTTTTTCAGACCACGACTACATATTATCAACACACACCAGGCCCGAAATTTAAATTTCTATTATTTAGGTCCAACATTACACTTAGCCCATTAATGATTTCTAGGTCCATTCGGTTGCATTTTTACACAATTTCTGCTGTCAATTGAGATATATATATATATATACACCAGCGAAATTTGCATTCTTGATTGTAGGTCCAGAGTTTATTTATTACTCCCCAGTCCCAAAATAAATGACCATATCTATATATATTTTGGATGTTTCAAAATAAATAAATGTCATATTTGAAAGGTCAAAGTATTATTATTATTATAATTATTATTTTTTGTATCAATTTAATTTCTTGTATTGAACTTATAAAAAGTAAATTATCACATTCCTGTAGACTCACTATGAACACTACCAATACAATAAAAATAAATAAATAAAATTCATCATCTTAAAAAATTAAATTCCCAAAATGGGACATTTATTTTGATATTGGTTCCTGAGTTTTGAAAAAAGGGATACTTGAGTTTCGAAAAAAAAACAAAACAAAAGAGATTCTACGAGTTTTGAATGTATTCTTTATATTACTCCCTCTATCCAAAAAAAAAAAAAAAAATCCCTTTTGGGGAACAACAAAATGGACATAAATCTCGCCGGGGCTAGATTCGGCTTCTCCTTGGCCGGAGCTAGATTCGGCTTACCCGGAAAGATTGGTCACGCAACCTAGGGATTTTTTGACAGAGAATCGATTGAACCCAATATAAATCATAAAGTGTGCATGACTACACAAAAGGGCACAATGGTGAAACAAATTTTTGTATTTTGGAATTTATTTATTTATTTAATTTTTTTTTTTTTTTTTGCAAACATGCAAAGAAAAATGAAAAATGTAAGAAATATGTATAGTGGGTGCTAAGTTTAACGTCTCTAGCAAGACGGAATGCTACTTGAAACTTTTTTTTTATTTTTTTTTATAGAAAACTATGATTGATCGAAGAATGATCAACCGGATTTCGATCGATCCAAGACCTGAAAACCTGCAGAAATCTTCGAACGATACACAGAGAGATGATTTATTCAGAGATTCAAAAATTTTCTAAGTATAGAACTGAGATCGATCGAAGAGAAATTTTGAACGATACATAGAGAGATAAAATATGCAGAGAATCTTCGCACAATAGAATAGAGATGAGAATATGCAGAGATGATGTTTGATCAATCGAATGATCCTTGCGATCGATCGAACAGGTAAGAACCCTTGCATTTTCCATTGCACAACTAATCCAAGCAAGTTTATGATGATGGAAACAAAAGGAATGAATGATACTCTAGGAGAAACAAATTGAACATCCCTTGATAACATTGAGTGCATCACTATATCTCTTCATAGATAGGATCCACCAAGAGGGCAGCTTCCATATGTCTTTGAAAAACTTGCCCCTCAATGTAGGGCTTCAACCTTTGCCCATTCACCTTGAATATGTACCCATCTTTCAAGCTTTTTATTTCAACCGCCCCATGAGGCGCAACATAAATGATTTCATATGGGTCCTTCCTATTTGGTACGTAACTTCCAGGGAAAGAGCTTAAGCCTAGAGTTGAAAAGCCATAGTTTTTGACCTGGTTCAAAAGATTTCTTCACAATATGTTTGTCATGAAAAGTTTTAGTTCTTTCTTTATAAAGTTTGGCATTATTATAAGCATTATGTCTCAATTCTTCCAACTCATTCAATTGAAGTAAGCGATTCTCTACGTCTTTGTTGAGGTCAAGATGGAGCTTTTTAATTACCCATATAGCCTTGTGTTCTAGCTCAACCGGGAGGTGGTAAAGCTTTCCATATACAAGTTTATAAGGAGACATGCCAATAGGAGTCTTATATGCCGCTCGGTAAGCCCACAAAGCATCATTCAACTTGCGTGACCAATTTTTCCGGGTTATGTTAACATCATTTTGTTGTGACCGTATATCCAAAGATTAATGTATAAGCAAATGCAGTGCAAGAAATAATATCCAAAATATCCAAAACAAGTGCAAGTGTCAAGATAGTGCAAAAATATCTCAGTAACAGCAGTGTACCAGATAATAAGTAGTAGAGAGAGAATGGTGGAATCAGGGAACAGGATTTGGAGTCATTATATCAGCAATGTGCTGTAACATGTCAGACATCTAATGGCTGTGGCAAGTGAGAGAAGCTATAAGGTCAGTTCGCAATGCTCCAAGCTCACGCCTCACCTCGGTTACATCTACTCTCAAATCATCATCCCTCCTTAGTAAATCATCATGTCTTCACCAGATCATCATGCCGCCTCGTGATATCCTCATACCGCCCAGTTATATCAGCTTTGAATGAAATGAAGTCTGTGTGCAGCTAAGTGACATCGGATCTGTTACTAGAATCAGTGATAGCATATCGGGATCGAGTGTCGTCCTGTGCTATCGGCTCGGTGGGAGGGATAAGAGAAGGGTCAGCTTGCTGAGTTGTAGTGGGTACATTTAGCTGTGAAGAAGAAGCGGCAGTAGTAGTGCGACGCCTTTATCTGGAAGGAGATCTATCGGCATCATCCTCTAGAGCTGCCTCATCTGCTACTCTCTGCTGCTCCTGTTGTCTTTTTATATCCCTGGTCTTCCTGTTCTTGAGGCAAGAATTGTAGGTCTTTGTTCACCTGGCCTGATCATAGGCTCTCCTATCTCTCTCTGCATCAGTCTTTGGGATCTCATCTGGGTTAAACTAATAACCCTGATCAAGTAGCAGCTGAGTAATCAAGTGGCCATAAGGTAAAGGCCAAGCTGCAGCTCTAGAATTCTGCGTATGATGCAGATTCTTCTAGAACTTGTGGATGAGCTCCCAGATAGCGCAGGAACAAAAATCCAATAACCCTGGCTCAAACAGTATAGAGCCTGAAAAATCCCAGCTCGCCTCTGAGTACCATGGCCTGATAGAAAGGCATTGAGGTGCAACACGGAATCAATAAACCAATACCGAGGATCAATGTCGACCCGGTCTGCAAAGGTGTTGCCCTCAAAGACAGCATATGGAGATAATGTAGCTACCATAGTCAGCTCAGATGGATAAGGTGGAGCACTAGGATACAATGGATCTTGAGAATCAGCAGCCAATGGAGATGAGTGGGGGCATCGGCTAGCATGTAACGACCCGGTCATTTTACTTCCTTTCTTTTTTTCGGTAATTTTTTTTTTCATTTTTTCCTTATTTCGTCCTCTTCTCATTTTTCACTTTTACTTGCATAGCCTTACTTTTTGTGACGGCCCTAGTTTTTAGGCCAGCGTGTCCTGTGATGAATCGTAAGGATGATCCGATAACGGATCCAAAATGCGGAAGCGAAAACA